AGACAGTAGCAATATGTTAAATATGAATGCAAGGGCTTTTTCCTCTAATGTGCTGTTGCTTTAATTTTCAGGATAGATGCTGCCAGTAGGAAGATGTCATCTCCTTTCAGCAAATATCACTTTTTATTGTAGATAACAAAACTGGCTTCTCCTACCTTGTCACTTGTGAGCAAATGCAGTGAAAATTAGATTTAAAGGGTCATCAAATGCAATTTAAAGCAACAGTTAAATCTGTAAGTGAAATAAGGTGCTACATAAAATGTTCCATCAAAAATGGCACTTGTCCTTCCCAGGCCGTTCCTGCCAGAGGACAAGCCTTCTAGCTCACTCCTCAAGACTCGGCCCTTCTGCTTCATGGATCTCTGCCACCAGCCTGCCTATGTAATACCTACAGCCAAACACGCTAATAAAATGTAAATCAAATACGAAATCAAACATCTCTTTGTACCACTCCTCCATCCAAATACTTTGACATTTCTGTCTATGCCCTGCAACTCAAATCACTTCTGGTTTATGTAAACTGGCAAAATAATGTGAAGACCTAACTCCTCCAAAGCAGGGAATGACTGGATTTAATGCTTTTATACAGGATATTTCTATTTGAATTTTTTTTTTTTTTTTAATAAAAGGCACTTTACAACCAGGCACTACACTCCCTGCCATACAAGTTAGCCGTGAGGGCCCACCCACACCACCTCAGCAACAGCTATTAGACTGAAAGAGAAGGAAAGTGTGTTCTGTCTTCTCGACTGCATCATCATCATTATTCCTATTATGCTAAGAGAGCAGTTGTTTGGCAGAAAAGTGTGACTCAGCAAGTGGCAACTTCTTCCCCCCGCCCTGCCCCGAGAAGGAGTGATTTGACCTCCAGCTTGTGTTCTCCTGCTTGCTGTCCTCCTCTCATCTCATCCCACTCATTCCTCTGTCCCCTCACTTCCCCTGCTGGCACTCATCTGGTTCTCCTCCTGTCCTCCTTCCTGCACTGTCCCTCCTGCCCTGCCCCACCATTCAGTTCTTTTCTTTCTCCTCCACATTCCTTAACCCCTCAGGATTTTCGCCATCCCTCTTTTCTTGGTTTTATGTACAGGAGGCAATCAGATGACTAGAGGTCAGAGTCTGCTCCCATCTACAGCTAAATCTAAAGCAACTTCATTTGGGTTAATAGTACCACACCCATAACCTGAATACGGACGTAGCCCTTCACTGAAAGGAGCATCTGACCCCAGGGGCCAGCTCCCCTCTCACTTCTTTAGGTTGAATGTTCTACAGCACCTCTGCAGAGCCACCAGTTCACACACAATACTAGTTTATTTTACCGCACAGTAATTACAGGCAGTTCAATGAAAGAAGAGCAACGCTGTATCCAAACAACTGGAAGAATCCAAGTCATTTCTTCCTGCTCCAAATTCTCCTGAGGTAGCAGTGCTCTGCTTAAAAGAAATAATGATGCTACGAGCTCCACTGTGGCTACCATCACCATCATCACCTCAGAGGAAGGATGGCCAATTTTACAGCTACAGCATGGGATATGGGAGAACTGGTTCAGCTCCTCGTTCTGCACTGATTTCCCATGTGACACTGAACAAGCGTTTCAGTACTTCTGTCTTGGCTCCTGGCCATCATGAAATGGGCTACCTTACCCCAGGGAACTGGTGTGAGAGGAAGTGCACCAAGGAATGTGAGGAAAAAAAAGAAAGAGTAGGACACTAATGCCTGAAGTCGCTTGTTTGGACTATAGAGGCACGGATGGACCCTACACGGTCATGAGTGGCCTACCAAAGTAGGGTCTTAAACACAGAAGTACTCAAGCCCTACCTGAAAACCAAGAAACTACACTTAGATAGGGGAGCGCTGCAAAACAGTCCTGGTCCCTGAGAGCAGCTGTTCCAGCATACACCCTGCTTTTGAGAGGACATATCCATCCTTGCACACCTTGCAGCAGGTGAAGAAATGAAAGAATAAAATTGCTGCAGTTTGGGGCAAAAACACCCTGTCATGCTGTTTTCTTCACAATCTGTTTACTTGCTCCAGCACTGGACTACTAAAATAAATCTGTGAGGCTGCAAAGCATTGCACTAGACGAGAGCAGCCATATTAATCATCTTTTGTTTTTATAAGCAGGACTCTCAAAAAGGTGTCACTGAGTCTGTGAAGCATGCACAAGCCAGCTGATACCCTGACCTACAATGAACCATGCGATGAATCCACCTCAGGGGACGTGGCCAGCCAAGCTAAATTTCCTCCATTTATTATTTCACCCAACAAAATTAAGTTATAAACCTTAGCTTACTTTCCCTCACAGTCACATTTAAAATCATGATATTTCTATGACTCTGAGTTTGCTCTGACTGATAGTCAAATTACATCTATTTTTAATGTCACTGATCATTTCCAGGAGGGGTTGTTTCTGGATCTCCCTGTTTCTGCATATGTGTTTCATACAGCACCTCCTGCTTCAGAAACGTTCCCTAGAGACGGATAATACCATTTTGCCGTCAGTCAGAGGAAGTAGTGACCCAAGTCATTCTAGGAATTAAACAAGCTGGGAGAGTTTTTAAATTTTGGCCTTTAAAAAGAATCAATTGAAAATTAATTTAGTTCCCAGAAGGGAACATTTGGGGAAGCACTCCACAGAGTCACCCAGCGAGATCTGCCTGAGGGATGGGCCTATCCAGTCACAGCCTTTCCATGAGAGAAGCTATCAGGACTGCTGCCAGCTGAGAAGAGGACTAGGACTGAAACTGTGCCTTCTACTGCTGGTGAGAAGTTCTGAGCGCCAAATGCTCTCTAACATCTCCATATGCCCTATGAAAGAGATTCCTGACCCGGCTGGCCAAGCAGCACAGGGTGAGCCAGAGCTCAGAGGGATGGGCCACGTTCCCAACCCCTCCTTGGAGAGGCACCGATGCACACAGAAGGCAGCAGCAGGATAGATACTGTCTTCGTTACAAGAGAGGATGGGATGAGGATTTTGCTGATGTCCATCTCCCTTCTTCCTGCTTATCTCTCCTTCCCTTCTTATTCCTTTTTTTTTTTTTTTTTTTATTTCTTATCTCCTAGAGCCTCCTGCTCCTCCTCTCCCAGGCTTGCTTCTCTAGCTTCTCCCTAAAAGATCATTTTAATGTTTACAATATTTTAATCCTGTGTCCTTCCTGCTTCATTGCTGCTTCCTCACAAGATCAAGCCCAAGCCCACTGTCCTTTCCTCAGAGACAAGAGGCTAGGTGGAAAAGCCTGGAGCTGCAGTCCAAGCCCTTGGACCACAGTAGCAAGGATGTGAGCTCCAGAGGGGAAAAAGCATCAGGAAGTACAGGCAAAAGGGTTTCCAGTGCTGTACCTGCCCTCACCAGGACACGCTCAGGGTCCCTCATGTGCTCCTCTTACCATCCCTCAGCCCAAACACTTGATTCAAATCTTTCCTGAGACCCAGCAATTACCTCCGAGTGCCTGCATGCCCTCCACAACAGGCAGTGTTTCCTTATCTGCTCCCCAGTCAACCCAGCGTTACCCCAAGCATCTCTGACCTTTTCTAACATGCGTCACCAGGCTTAATAAGGTTTTCCAAATAACAGCTCCTCCAGAGAAGGAAGAATTGCCGCGATTATTTTGCAAGACTCCAAGGAAAGTAATTTCTCTACCTTTCCGTAATTCAGTGCTAAACATGTCAGGGAACTTTTGGCACAAGTACAAGAACACTTGTTTTCTTCCAGTCCTGATACAAAAATTCCTCTGACACAGTCGTCTCACACAAATATACCCCATTTCCTGCTCTGCCTTAGTGCAAGATTGACCTCTACCTTCATCCGCAACTGTGAGTACAGCTCCAATAAGACAACACTGCTTCCTGTGCTAACTGCTACAGAATCACAAAATAGTTGAGGTTGGCAGAAACATCTGGAGATCATCTACTCCAACTCCCCTGCTCAAAGCAGGAGCTAGAGCAAGCTAGAGCAGGTTGTCCAGGACGATGCCCAGTTAGATTTTGAGTATCTCCATGGATGGAGTCTCCACAACCTCTCTGGGCAGCCTATTCCAGTGCTTGATCACCCTTGAAGTAAAAAAGGTTTTTCTTAGGTTTAAATAAAATTTCCTGCTTTTCAGTTTGTGCCCATTGCCCTTTGTCCTGTCACTGAGTACCACAAGAAGAATCTGGTTCTGTCTTCTTTACACACTCCCATCAGGTATCAATGCACGTTAGAAAGATCCCCACTGAGCCTTCTCTTCTCCAGGCTAAACAATCCCAGTTCTCTCAGCCTCTCCTTGTATGACAGATGCTCCAATCCCTTAATCACCTTAGTGGCCCTTCACTGGGCTTGCTCCAGTATTTCCTTGTCTCTCTTGTACTGGGGGGCCCAGAACTGGACATAGCACTCCACATGTGTCTCATCAGGGCCGAGCAGAGGGGAGGGATCATCTCCCCCGACCTGCTGGTAATGCTCTGCCTAATGTAGCCCAGGATGCTGTTGGCTTTCTTTGCCACAGGGGCACATTGCTGGCTCGTGGTCACCTTGTCCAACAGGATCCCCAGGTCTTTTTCTGAAAAGCCGTTTTCCAGCCAGTTGGCCCCTAGCCTGTCCTGATGCATGGGATTATTCCTCCTCAGCTGAAAGACTTTGCACTTCTCTTTGTTGAACTTCATGAGGTTCCTGTTGGCCCATCTCTCCAGACTGTCAAGGTCCCTCTTAATGGTGGGGCTCTTAATGGTGGTTCTTAATGGTCCCCCTCTGATGTATCAGCCGCTCCTCCCAGTTTTGTATCATCTGAAAACTTGCCAAGGGTAGACTCTGCCCCATCACCTAGGTCATCAATGAAGATGCTGAACAGTACTGGACCCAGTATCAATGCCTGGGGTGCTCCACTGGTGACTGGCCTCCAGCTGGACATCATGCTGCCGATCAGAACCCTATGAGCTCAGCAGTTCAGGCAGTTTTCAATCCACTCGGCTTGTCCACTTATCTAGCCCATACTTTATCAGTTGGTCTATGAGATGTTACGGGAGAAAGTGTCAAGCACCTTGCTAAAGTCAAGATAAAGACAGATCCCTATCCACCAAGCTAGTCATCTCATTGTAGAAGGCTATCAGGTTGGTTAAGCACAATTTCCCTTCATAAATTCATGCTGACTACTCCCAATCCCTTTCTTGTCCTTCATGTGTTTGGAACTGGTTTCCAGGAAGATTTACTCTATCAACTTCTCAGGGACTGAGGTGAGCCTGACCAGCCTGTAGTTCCCTGGCTCTCTTCCAGTCCTCAGCAACATCCCCTGATTACCATGACTTTTCAAAGACAATTAAAAGTGGCCTCACAGTGACAGTGGCCAGCCCCCTCAGCACTCATGCACGCAATCCCATTAAGTCCCATGGCATTAAAAAAAGAAAGACAGCTACAGTTCCCTTAATTCTGCAAATGTCCTAATTAAGACACACTCCTTTCTGCAAATGCATTTCAAAGAATGCAACTGAATTGCTGTTTCCTGCATGTGTAAAAGTCCAAGACTCTTTTGCTGTAATCACATGCAACAGGTTTTAAAACAAGCTATTTTGTGTCCACCATCACTGTAAAAGCAACAAGAGAGAAGAGCCTTGCTCCCATTCCTGGGATGCAAATGCATTAAAAAAGGGTCAGGCATGTCACTTTCTCAGTTCTGCAACTGCAATTCCAAAAGTAAGCAGGTGCATCTCTCTGGTTTCACTGCAAACGCAAAGCCAAATCCAAAGAAAAGGATACCGCATCTTAACTGTAAAGGTATTTTAAAAATGCAAGTCACACAAAGTGTGCGCAAGTCTTACTGGCTTCTCAACTACAAGACAGTAACTGACTAAACATCTCCTCTTCTTTTAAAAATATGGCACTAGGGTAATTGGAACAGAAGGCTTTGGAAGGACTTTAATTACCACGTTCAGCAACTGAAACAGAAAGAAAACAGAGGCAGAAAGTAAACACAGCAACCAACAACCGACAGAAAACATGACAAGGATGTATTTGCACTGCTGATACGTTACTTTTATCCCCTCCTCCTGGGAAGATGGAGCGAAGCCTGGCTTTCTTGTTCTTCTCCTCCGGGGCCATGGGGAGCGGTTTTGAACTGTGGTTTAGTGCTGAAGAATCGCGATTGTTGCTGTTCATTCTCAATGGTGGGGCTGGAGGTTTCTCTTCAATATCCAGACTATCGGACATCTTCAGCAGCCCTCACACCCTCCTGCAAAAAGCAGAACAGAAAGCATGCCTGTCAACTAAGGCCACCAAGGCTGGTGTCCTGACAGGGAGAGGAAAGAGAGGGCAAGAAAAGCCTTCTGGTGGAATAAGGAGGCCTATGTATTAGGAGTTTGCTTTGAATAAGGTACTGCTGGGTGCTATAAATAATTCCTAAAAATCACTGATTAAATATAAAAGCCCTATTAAAATAAAGGGCTTTTTATCCCCCCCCCCAAAAAGGCTTTTAAAAATTATATTTGCAACTGGTTTTTCCTGTAGCTGTTTATAAATCAGATCTTCCTCTAAAACCAACACCAGACTTCCAAAGCAAAACTTAAATGATTTACTAAAACCACCGGGTACCCTAATGTACCATCTTTACGATGTAAGACACACTCCGGGTTGGGATACAGCAAGCATTAGGATCTCTGTCCCTTCCCTGCTTTGTGCTTGCAGATGGTTTACCCAGGGAGTGTGGGGCTTCAAAAGGAACCAGCTTCCCACAGGAAATTTATTCCGAAGTACCAACTACAACTTTTTTTGCATATAAAAAATGAGCAATATTGTTTGCTTCAAAATCAATCCAAACCAAATCAGGAAAATAATCATATCCTCAAAACAATTCCAGTCTTCCTCTTCCTGTTCTGTTACTGTACAGGTTTGTTACCATAGGGCTGCTTGTGGCACAGCTTTGAGTAATGGGTTGGCACTGTAAAGTCCTGAATATGGTATATTACCTAGGGATGGACATGAATAGTCTTCTGGTTGGCCTCCCTACAGCAGCAGTGACAATTATGAGTTATTCTTATGATATTCTTCCAGTGATGAGAACAGTAGTATTGATCTAAAGGAAAAAATTACCTAGAATTCTTATACAACTTGCCTAAGTAAGTGGGGTAAGCCTTTTGAAACTCCCAACCTCTCTAGCGTATCTTAAATATTAAAATTCAAGTCTGGATTATCCAGCTGGTATAACAAATAAGCAAAGCTTGGGAAAATGAACTCCGACTGATTTAAGACCTGAAAATAGAGTATGATTTCAAACAGATCAGATGCGATGTGGGCTATATTACATATTTTTAAAGGTTACAATTCTACAAGCACCTTTCCTTCCTACCCCTCTGCAAAGAATGCAGCTCCCTTTATGGAAGGCATACGCAGACCACTATGCGTGCGTTACGGATCTCTCCTCGTGCTGATTCAGAGATAACACAAGTTATTACAGCCATCAGCTGCTCTCTCAAATTTACAATGAAAGAACTTGTTTTTTTAGCTGTGAAAGTCATAATTTCCTTCAGAAGTACGAGCCAAAACTGGTGACTGTCATTTACGCAATAAGGTCCTGAAGCTCTGCTAGTAGGAGCACTGCTGCACTCACTTAGGTTAGGTAAAGCTGCCATGTGTATGTTTGCTGGCTGAGGTTAAAGCTTCCAAGAGTTGCATTTACTTTGAAATAGCTGAAATTTTGCCAGGATTTCCAGCTGATATATTATTAGGGGATAACCAAATCCGCATTGCCTTAATTGAGAACACTTTCCATGGAGAAACTAAATGACCCATTGCAAAATTTAGAATGTTCACTCTAGACTAAATTTTTCATGACACGGGCATTTTAGCCTTTGTTACTGTTTTAAAATCACCACACAAAAAAAATGACCATTTCCTCTTTTGATGACTGTATTTATGTTTTTAATTTAATCTTAATGAGGTCCCAGAACGACAGGTTTGAGATTCAAAGCATCCGCCTCGCAGTAAGAACAATACTTGAAATACACCATCACAGCTTGGTCTTGCACTGGTGCCCAGGTCTGCAAAACCAGGCTCCTCTTGATCCCCAGACCTGACCCCTATGAGCAGCCCCAGCCTAGCCTGCCTTCCCAGGACAACGAGGTGGGAACCCTTCCAGCAGCACCAGGAAGGGCTTTTTGGTCACTGGGACCACCACAAGCCCTCAGCCGTGCTTGGAGGGCTCCCAAACATCCCACAGGAATGCAGATTCCCCAAGCAAACCCTAACGGCACGGCACACCTGGGAGCCTCTACAGGGACCTGCTCCAGGGTCACGCAGAAATGAGAAACCCTGGCCACGGCCGGCCACAGCCCTCTCCCCACTACTTACAGCATGAAGCTGGGATCCTGGAGCTCCCAATGCACAAACCCAAACCTAAAGAAGTTTCCAGCCCCCTAGCTGCTCATCTCCACTGGGGCAACAGTGGTACAAGCACTTCCCCCCAACGTCTTCAGCCGGCTTGTGTTACACGGCTGACTGGAGCTCATCTGGCAGGTTTTGCCTGCAGCATGTTAGGGAGAGCTCACGTGATGGCTCCACCGGCAGATCAAGAGGGCGTCCCCCAGCCAAAGGGGACGTCTACTCACAGTCTTGAGCCCTACGCGAGCTACCAGCCCCTGCCGACGCCGCAGGGCTGCTCCCCTGCAGCCAATAAGATGCTTTTTCATAAGGGAATAGCGATCACCGTGGCGGGGCTAAGTGCTGATGCAGCTTTCGCGTCTAGGCTACCCTACTTACCTGGAGAACTAAATGCTTTCTGTAGATTTAGGTCAAACAGTTAACGTTAATAATCTCTGTGATTTCTAGCATCAAATGGAAGA